ATTTAATTAGCTTAGCCAAAATTATGCTTCTTAAATAAGAACCAAGATGCATTATATAAAGGTACAATTCCCAATGAGAAATGTAATTGTGTTGTATACCTACAATGTACCGATAAAAGAATTTAATTTAAAAAAAAGATACAGTAGCCAGTTGGTCATAAAAGTTAACACTTCAAAATATTTCCTTTATATCTTTACTTTTTCAGTACTGTAATGAGGACATTAGCCAAGCTAGAATCACTGATAAGTATTACAAATCAAGAAATGTGTATACACCACAGGGGTGTATAGTAGGGGATGAATATAATCAAAATACATGCATTGACCCTCCCTGAAAATGTAAAACTAGCGGAAAGATGGGAGAAAATGATCAAAGTATAGTCTGCCAAAATGAAATGCCTTAATTTGTATAAGTAATGTGTACTAATAAAAAAAGATGCGAGACAAAAGGAAATATGCACTGCAAGAATATTTTTAGTGAATATAGTTCATCTTTAAGACGAGAGACCATTTATCAAAGATGCTGAGGAGAGGATTTTCTTTTTCTTTTTGTGGTGCTGGTGATCAAACTAGGGCTTCATATATGCTAGGCAAGTACTCTACCACTGAACTACACCTCCAGTGAGTCAGAGTTTAGATGCTGACCTCTAACATCTCATCAACTCTAAAAGTCTAGAAAAAGATGCTCAATAAATAATCAGTGATTTGATAATATACTAATAACATTTTATAACTCATGTAGAAATTCACAAGTATGCTTCATTTCAATGCTATATGTACATGGATGTTGTTTGAACAATATAAATTAGAACTTTATCTTGGCTAAAAGTTTTATGAGACAACAGCATGTAAACCTTAATTATTTCTGGATTTGAATTTTGTTTTATTTTGCAGTATAAACCATGTAGAAATGAATGTTATGATGCATTTTATCTATGGAGGAACTTTGGATTTTCCAGACAAAGCTAATGTTGGGTATGTATTACTTTTTAATAAATTTAAATATAAAATCTTAATATTTTACATGTTTTGCTTTCTTATGTTGCAGTGTCAATGAAGTAGAAGCTTCCCTAAATTTTATGATCTATTTTGCTGTATCTTGAGTGTGTTTAAGGAATATCTAAAAATAAGTCATCTTATTTAGAATAAAATATGACATAGTAACCAGTAATAATAAGATTAAGAAAGCTCTTCATTAGACTTAAATTGTTAGAAGAATCTTTTTATTTCTTTCTTTCCCTCCCTCCCTTCCTAGATTTCTTCTGCAATACTCAAAAGGTTGAACCCAGGGCCTCATACACATTAGACAAGCACTCTCCCACTGAGCTATTTCACTGACCCTTTTTTTGTTTTCTTTTCTCCTTTCCAGTCCTGTCCTGTCCTGTCCTGTCCTGTCCTGTCCTGTCCCTGTCCCGTCCCATCCTTTCCCATCCTGTCCTTTTGAGATAGGATCTCCCTAAGTTGCCCAGGCTGAGTTCACACTTGGAATCCATTAACCAATATTTTATCTAAAATTGAATACTATTTTACTACTTTATTTTTAAATTTCAAGGTTTTTTTAAACATCAAAAGAAAAGAAAAACCTTAATTTAAAGGATATAAAGGTATCCTAAAGACTAATAATTATGTGATTCTTGTATGTTATGTAGTGAAATACCATTTATGCTTCTGATATTCTACTAGAGAGTGAAATTCCCTCTTGTTCTTCTTTTCCAGATGTCTTCCTTTTTCTTTATATTCTAATATCAGACAAATGAAATATACCTTTTAATTTTAACAATTCATAGAGGTTCTTTAAATTTCAAACAAAACAAATATGTTTCTGGAAGGAACATATCATGGATCACAGGGATTAAGTGTTAAAGTTTCATCCCCTGGCAACCTACATGAATTTTTATTGTGCTTTCAAGGCTTGTAGGTTTCCTACCTACCTAAAATATGTGTAGGTACTTGAAAATACTAGCCAAATGAAAATACTAGCCAAACTCTCTGGTGATTTGGTGCTGTCTCTAATTTTAGAGTCATTTTTAGGTATTTTTGATATGTTAAGCATCAATGAATTCCCTCCTAAACTCTCATTATATAAATTTGTTACAAAGATTGATGTAACATATATAGCCTTCAATGCAGTTTCCTGGAATTTGTTCTATATGTCACTGAGCAAATGAGGGAGATTTGAAACATCTCCAAATTTACTTCTTGTTATTCACCACTAAGGAAATCATGAGCCAATGCTTTCAATTTTTGCCTATGTCCTTTTTATAATCTGTAAAGAATGTTTATTATGTTAAAATGTTAGGATTAAAATAATTCCGATTCTTTTTCTAAACAGACTGTATATTATCAAGAAATTATTATATCTTATGCTTTGAATTTTTTAAATTTAAGAATTAACAGTACATCTATTTTTATTTTAGTCAGATACTCAGTATTGCTGACATGTACGGATTAGAAGGATTAAAAGAAGTAGCAATCTACATTTTAAGAAGAGATTATTGTAATTTCTTTCAGAAGGTAATTATTGAGTCTCAGAAATCTTTACGTAGTGGTTGAAGTAACTCATTATTACCTTTTATATTTTTAACTTTAGTTGTAATAGCACTTTAAATATTAAAAATACTAAATCAATTTAACTAATAGGAGCCCTTAAAAGAGCCACACAGCAGCAAAGGCCACCAGCATCTGAATTAGAGTAAAGTCAAGGACAAATCCCTAGTAGAGTGGACCCTGAAGTTAAGACCAGCCTGACACTTGAACAACTTGGGTTAATTAGGTTAATGGAAGATTTACCTCCCTCTTGTTATGTATAGCATTTTCCCAGGTAAACATCCAGATCTCAGCTGTACTGACTTAGTTACAACCAGTCCTCAGGAACCAATTGAGATTGTAAGTCAAGTGTCCACTGTACCATCTTAGTGTATGCTTAATTACATAAGGTAGTCATAAGCATCCATGCCCTCTTTCATAGAATTAAACTCAGAAAATGGAAGTGCTGGAGATCGGATATGAAATAGGTGTTAAAACTATAATGAAGCTTAAGAATAAAACCAGAAGTTATAGAATCTGCTTATAATGTTATTAAGGGACGATAAAAGGGGGAAATTTGACAGCTTAGTTAGAAGAACTAGTTTGGGGGAAAAGTTTTATGTCAGTATCTCCTCTGAACTGAGACTCCTTCAATAAACCAATTCCATCTTTCTTTTTTTTTGGTACTGGAGATCGAACTCGGGTCTTTGCGCTTGCACAGCAGGCAGCAAAACCACTGAGCTAAATCCCCGGCCCCCAATTACATCTTTCTGAAGTTGTAAAAATCATTTTTGTGAGTAGTTTTTAATACCATTACCTCTAATTTTTGTTGTATTCATGAATACATGAGTTACATGCAGCTTCTTGTGTTTTACTTTCAATAATTATTTTTTTATTCTTTATTTTTTATGTCCAACAGGTAATGTGCTAACATTTTAACATGGTTTGAGGGAGGTGCCTCTCACATAATGGTGTGAAAACATAATTATCACACTTATAAACCACAAAAGGATCTCCACTTAATTTTTTAAAACATGAAGAGCATTTTTGCTTCTATTAAAACAACAGAAACTGTTGCTTTTTATCAGCATAGCATTTTGTTTAAAAAATTTTACTATAATTCAGATGCATATTTTGATGTGTATTACAGTATTACTGTGGTAATGGATGTTTGAGAGAAGTTTCTATTTTCATTAACCTAATCCTTAAAAATTTTTGCTCTAGGTCCAGGGATTTTGCTCAGTGGTTCTTCTGCCTGCATCGCAAGCGCAAGGACCCGAGTTCAATCCCTGGTACAAAAACAAATTTTTTTGGCTTTACATATTTTATAATATATATTTTTAGAAATATACTTCTGAATATATATACATATATTCTCAGTTACTTTTCTCTTGTTGCTGAGAAAAAATATCTGACACACAAAGATAAAGGGGAAGGGTTTATTTAGCTCAGTTTGTAGAGATTTCAGTCCATAATCAGCTGGCTCCAAGGCAGAGTGGCACATGACAGAAGGGCATCACAGCTGAGAAACAGTTCATGGCTCCCACATGGTAACAAAAGCAAGAAGGGAACCTTAATAGCACCTTTCTGCCCCTTTTGTCTTATCCAGACTACTGGGATTAGGCCACTGACAAATCAATCAGTGTACTGGTTTAGTAATCACACGCCCTTAATCCCACCATCACATATTTTTCAGCCACCCACGACAAAGCTGCCTAAGACTGCATGAGGCTTTGGGGGGACATCAAGAACTAGACCATTATATA